ACTGGAAAGATGCAACATGCTCCGTGTGGAGCTGCCTGTAAGACTTCGCTGGGAGCTGGAGCTAATTGCAGAGTGCTGCAGCCTGACTGTTGTCGGGAGCGACCTCTTTTCAGTTTAAAAGAACTGAAGTGGGTACTTACACCCTATCAGCCAGGTTTAAGGTTTTCGTATCAGTGTATAGCACCCTGAACGATTTGGGACCAAGGAATCTGAGACGGTAGCTTCTCCCTTACCAACCTGCCTGGTCACTGAGGTCACCTGAGGACACTCTCCAAGTGGTTCCACTCAGAGCTTTGCCCTTACTGAAGTCCACCGGAAGAGCCTTCAATGTGGTGGCTCCCTTTCTATGGAATGGGCTGTCACAGGAAGTTGAGCAAGCCCCTTGTTCTGGTTTTCATGGCTGATTAGCAAAACCAGGTTTGTTTTTATTTTTTATTTATTTTTAATAAATGTTTTATTTTTATTATAAAATTTGTTTTAACTTTGCACTGCTCATCACTCTGGGATCTGCTTGGGGGTGAAGGTGTATAAACAAACAAATGGTCATCAACTCAATCCAGCTGCATTTCCAGGTCTCAGCTGTACATGGCTGGCCCATCAAAACTCTCTTGTCTCCCACAGAAGCATGCTCAGAAATCACTGGGAACAGGAGAGGAGAAAGAGAAGATTCATGCCTGGTTCTAGCCCGGGGACAGAGAACCTCCTTCAGCCTAGGGCTGGTTCTGATTGTTAAGAGACTTTAATGCCAGATTCCTCTGGTGGGTGGGGCCAAAGGCACAAAGGGATAGACAGACAAACCCGCACAGGCCCCAATTCAACTGTTGCTAATTTAACAACAGGAAGCAGGGCTATTCCAAGGAACAAGGATCAGAAGGTAGCAGGGCTGACTCATGCTGGCACTGCCCCACAGGGGGAAAAACCTCCTATCTCTGATCAGGTGCTAATCAGAGATAAGAGCTCTCACCTCTGTTGAAGAGGTTGCTGGGCTGGATGGGGAACCCTGCAGGCCCGATAAGGCCATAGGTGGGAATTGCTTGTTCTGGCCAACCAGCACTGTGGCACAGCCCTTCACAAGAAGACGGTGTTCCTCCCTTTGCCTCTTACGTGTGATCCAAACACTTTCCGGCAGCCCCGCTGCAGTATAAATGTCATGCCCTGAACTTCAGACACACTGATGTCCAATCAACATTCTGTCATGGGCCAACTGGCACAAGCCAGTGCAGATTTTTAATTGGCAGGGGGTCAGTTTGCAAGATAATTTCACACCCCATACATTAATTCTGTAGACAATCACATTTAACTTTATACACTATTTTATCTAGATTTGCTCTTTTGTTACTAAAACTTCAAACTACTTCCTAGGCAATGATACCATTTAACACCTATAGACATACTTTGGAATAAGGAGTTTCACTGCAGCTGCAAAGTCAATAAAAATGTCTAAGTGCAGGGCTCCCAAGAGGTGGTAGCCAAGAATCTGCAGTAACATTTCAAATGTACACATACCAATGATTAATACAAGTATTCTTACACACCCAGGTCCCTCCTTCCCTTTCCATCCTACTAAACATGTGTGCCTTTAACAACACCTTTACAACAAATCAGTTTCCAGACTGAAAAGGATTCTTTCCTGGCAATTTACTTAAATGTACTTCTAGAATTACCAGGTCCTTCATCTTTAGTTCTCTATGCTTGAACATGTATAATTCTACCAAAGCCTGCATCATTTTCTTCAAATTGTGCTTGCACGCTATCTTAGAACGCCTCCCAAGCCACATGACAACATTCCCTCTGCTGGCACCAATCCTAACAAAACCTAACATTAGAAATGTTCCAGAAGTCTGTGCCTAGATCTAACCATTACAATTGCATAAAAAATGCAAAGAGGTAAGCATTTACAATGGCACAACCAAAAGCTGCTAGCATATTGTTAACAGTGGGGGTGGGGAATGGGGAAAACTTTAGGGAGCAAATGTCTAAGAAGAAGAAATGCAAACGTTTAGGATATGCATAGGTACCTTTTCTTAAATTCATCTCTTTTCACATATATTTGTACAAGAAAATTCACACAAATGTGTTTACCCAGAGATGGGAAATACATGGTCCAGGGGTCTCATGATGCTCCCACCACCTACATAATTTTTTAAATGATGCAAGGTCAAAAGAGGTGCAAATAAGCTAGATTTTACCTTTTTGGCCAGAGTGCTCCAGGCACTATTGTTTTTCATTAAAGCGTGTTTTTCTAGGAAATACAAATATTTTCTAGAATTGCCCTGTAGATTGTGGCCTGTGGCAAAGGGTGCTGGAATGGATAAAATGACCCCGATCTCTCTAAGTTGCCCCCTGTGCTTTACATAGATTTAGTCCTTACACGTTTGTAATCTTCTCTCAAGTTATTTTAGGTTGCCAAGATATAAAAGCTTAATGGGTTTTAACTTTTAGAAGTTTAACGCTGTGCAATTCAAAGCAAGATTATTCAGAAGCGAGTATGCTGAGCTTAAAGGAGCTCACTCACTGTTTGTGTGTGTGTTTAGGATTGTGAGCTTAATGAAAGTTAAGTTACAGTGTATCAGGGCATGCAATAATATTTATTAACCTCTCTGGCTAGATGCTAAATAACTAACTTTGCAAGAATACAGACACTATGCATGTTTTCTCCCTGCAGAGGAAAGACACTTTGAAAGAACTATTTGCTTGCCTCTTCAGTAGCAGGAGCTGCTGTACAAATTTCAAAAAGGAAGCATCTACACTGTGTCCCAAGCTAACGTATAAAGTCTGGTGCCCAACTTTATTTTTCTAAACTTTTAGTCATATACTTATTAGCTCACCCTCATCTTCTCTTTACATTGACCTACTAATTAACAGAGATTACATAGTATGCATCCACTAAGCAGACTCACAATACCTTGAAAGTCCTGAATCCGCAAACGAACTCTATGTAAGCACATCTAACAAGTAGCCAGACCAAGCCAACCATGAACCCATGGTAAGGAACGCTGCTTGCTAAAGCCAGTTCCATCATTTGCCTTTCAAGTCAACTACACAACAGTGCTGAAAATTCAGAGCCATGAGAACTCATTGCGCAATGATCCAAATCTGTTCTCAAAGCAATGCAAAATGCTTACTTCACTTGCAAATGTTAAACTACCTCAGATTAAACATTTTGTCTGTTGATGTCTATGCTTTCCAAGGAACCAGCATGACAAGGACAGAGTGTCCATATATGAATGAAAGGGAGTTAAGGAGCTAGAATGAAAGGGAGTTAAGGAGCCTGGAACCAGGTTCTGTAATACCGCTCACCCGCTTCACCACACCAAGTGGGGAGCCAGATATAGGAGAACCTAAGAACAACTAAGGCTGAGTTTTCTGGAATCTGGAATTAAAGAGAGAGACTGAGCCCTGCTTGCTCCCCAGACCCAATGTTCAGCCAATGCCTGGATTTGTTTTGGTTCTGTGCTTGCACTGAGAGCCAGTCTGCCCCGCACCCCTTCATCACCCTGCTTCTTGTCTCCAAATCAAGGTCAAAGGGGGAAAGTGGTGCCTTTATAGCTAAGCAACTGGACTGCAGGTCAGGTCAGGAAAAAAGCAAGCTCTGCACACCAGCTAGGTGTAAGCCAGCACACCTCCCTGCCGCTTCTCCCACTAGCACCTGGGAGAGATTGCTGGAGGTACAGAGCAAGCACCTGCTCCCACTCCCAGCTCTGAACTGTTGGGGCAAGGGCATGAGTTATGCCCCTCATCCTGACCCAAGACCAGAGTTTCAGGAAGGGGCAAGGCACCTTCAGCACACTTCATGTTTCAGTTCAGGGGTGCAGAGCACAAATCATGCTTCTTGGGGATGAGGAGTGCTAGGGATCACTTTCTGTTGTTATCGTTGGAAAGCAATCATTTGTTGGACTCTAATATAAGAGCACAGGATGCTGCCTTTTATTGTCCCTCTAGCCAAATATTATTTTTTATTAATTAATTAATTAATTACAAGCATTTGCATCCCGTCCTTCTGCACAAACTCTCAGGACGGCTTACACAGACACTTACAGGCAGTAGCTCTCCAGGTTTTCAGTCAGAAGCTTTTCCAGCCCTGCCTGGAGAAGCCAAGGATCAAGCCTCAACCTTCCATATGCACAATACATGCCCTGTGGCTGAGGTACAGCACCTCCCCTGGGCATATAGTACTACTTCTGCCCAAACTCTGAAACACAATCCAAGCATTCTGAGGTGTTCTGCAGAGCTTGTCTTTTTAATGAAAATAAACAGGTACTATGATATGTGCAGTACCATCCTGTAAATATGGTCCCCAAAAGATTATAGAGACTATAACTGTATGGCGAACCCAATGTTTTTTCAAATGCCCTGTTGCAGTTTGGCTCAATGAATTAATTATCACTCTAAATTGTGCTGTGTCAGTGAACTTATTATATGTTACCGCCACTTTTGGAAAAGTATAACATTTTTAAAGTGGAGAACACAGAGGAGAAGGAAGTGGGAAAGTTCCTTCTGCAACTGCTTCAAGTTGCACATGCCTAAACCAAGATCCAACCTATTTTATATAAGTTTGGTGCTTTGGACATGACTTCTTTTTTCCTGAATGTGGGATTTATTGCTGTGAGACTGCAGCAGGAAGAGGGAGAATGGCTACAGGTATGCACACTATGTTCCAAAACACTGATAAACCATTTTATCTACACATACTACATCCTACACATTCTCCTTTCTTTGGATGCCACAGATCATAAATACCAAAGACTTAGTCACACTATAAATGCAATGCTTCTAACACATAATATGAAAGACTTTTAGAAATGATGGATTTAACCCTAACCCTAACCCATCCCCAAGCTGTTGCTTTCAAGAAGTGCTCCACTGCAGCTTCTAGCTTGCTGGATTTGAAACAAGTTAAAGTCCAAAACATTCGGCAGATATCAGTTTGGAGAAAGCTATAAAGAGCAACCCACTCTGACAGAATCTGGTAAAAAAGGAAAGATTTGTGTCAAGCTTACCTCTTGTTTGGTGTCTTTAAATGACTTTCTTGAAGTTCTGCTTCTAGAATCTGGTGATGCAGTTTCTTCCTGCTGCCCAAAAAATTCCTCAATTGTCTTTGTGTCAATCTGGTAGTTCTGCTTTGCACCAATAGTCCAGATGTTGTTTTTACCACGAACTTGTTCTTCAGGGATAGTTTTCCAAAAGAAGCTACGTATTCGCTTCTTCTTGCTCGGTTGGCCACGCCCGTTGTTTATTGACTGCAGCGATGCAAAACTGCTTGGTGCTGGGGGAGGAGGAGGGGGTGGAGGTGGGGGTGGGACCCCTGCTGAAGAAAATCCAGCTTCTGTGGACATACATGGCAGTGGTGGCGGTGGCGGCGGCTGCTCTTCTGGTTCTGTTGTATCTCCAATCATTAATCCAGCTTCAACTGAAATAGCTCCATTTTCTTTATCATTGACCAAGGAGACACAATTCATAACATGCATTTTAAAGTCTCTCTCTCAAAAGAGAGAGACTTACTTCCTTGGATGTGCATGTACCATCAAGCAGCAGAGCAGAAAATTATGATTTGCACACTGACATTTTAAACTACCTACCATCCGCCAAGGAAATTCAGGAGATCACTCATCTCTCTTAAATCTGCAATGAAATATAGTAGAAGCAAAAAGTTAGGAGATGTATTTTATGTAGGTGCAGGAAAAAGCATGGCTAGCGTACCACTTTGTAGGCAATGTATAAACCAGAACACCAATTCAGATATGCCAATTATTAGCTCCGCCCTAAAGTAGAAAGACTTTAACAGATACCTCAGAAAGGTGTTTGTAATCAACCAGGCCAGCAACCAAAACCAAGGGCCTTCCCAGTACCAGAATCCAACCAGGGAAGATGTGCACAAGGCAAAACTTTCACAGGTGTTTTGCCTTGTGCACAATGCAATTTGTTCCCAGGTTACTCCGCAGGAGTTTCACAGTTCAGGAGACAGGCTGTCATGTAAAACTCTACAGCACAGTGTCTCTTTGGCAGGAAAAATTGCTGCAATGAAATCAGGATCCGGCAAGGGAATGTGGCACCTCAGTGTCAGGGAATAGCAGAAATTCACAGGGACAATAAGGGTTTGTTGTTTAATAAAAGGAAGGACAAAGATGTTTTGAACTATTTGCTTTTCAGAATACGCTTTTAATACACAAACAGATACTTACTGACCCCATGTAAGTGGGGATTTTTTAAAGGGTAAAATATTACTCTTTAAAATGTTGAGCAAACTTTTCAGCCTGTATTTTAAATGCAGGCCCATATTTCAAATACCAAATTAAAATGTTCTCTCACTGCAAAAATTGTTCCCTGTGAATCTGACTTAACCACCCCTGTTGCTGCCCCCGCATTGCTGAAATTTGGTGGTGGAGATGCAATACCAGCTCCACAAAGAAACTTTCCAATTTTCTGGCACAATTCAGCAGGAAGCCATAATGGAGACACACATGGGCCTAATGTAGCTTGTTTTTGAGCTAAAAGTGGCAGTTTGCACCTCTGAAGCAGTTTGCCACTGAATTTCAGAGCAAATTACTGGGCCCTGTAAGCAGTGAGGTAACAGCAGTACGTACCTAGGCGAGTCTGGAAATTTTTCCCCAGATCACCCAAAATTTCCTACCTGCTATTACAGAAAACTCTTAGTGTTTAAGCAGATCAAAATAAGGGAAATCTCTGTCCACCCAATAAGGAGAAATTAAAACCATTTTAATCTTTGACCATATATATCCCCATGTAAAAGCATAGCTACTTAATGCCAATCCAAAAGTTTAATACCTAGCTGTTTAAACTTTAGAATGAAAGGGTAAAGGGAATTTATATCTGCCTAATGAGGAAAAAGCTGGTGATAATGAAAAGATGGTGTAATCTATTCATCTGCCCAAACACCAGCACTTAAAATCTTATTCAAATGACATTCAAAAATAAATTGCAACCCTTAGTGTCATGATTTGATTGTACTTATGGATATAGTTTGCTTATGATCATCAGCCATGCTGTGGATCTCACACTACAACAGGAAGGTATTTACATATTCCATAGCACTGCTTTACTTTGTTATTCTTAACTGTTTAAAACCTGTGGTAAGGTTTCCTTCCCTCTTCCTTCTTCCAAAAAACAAAAAAACAAAACAAAACAAAACCCCATTGTTTGCCTCTGGTTCAGGTCAGCTTAAGCAAACATGCAAAAAAGTATTTGCCCAGTTTGGCGGTCTCCCTCTTCTCCCTGGATTACAGCTGAACTCATTCATTCATTCATTCATTCATTCATTCATTCAGAACATTTATATGCCACCTATTTCGCCCATGGCTTCATCAGGATCTCCTGACCCTTTGTGTAACATTTTCAGGGATTCTGGAAAAGACTTCCCCAGGAAGAAAGAAGGGGACAGAAAAGTCTGTTTCTGCCAGTAGAGCTGAACATGCCTCAGTCTAGATCTAGCCATATATGCTTCTTCAGGGCAATATTTGTGGAGAAACAGCAAGGTTATAAAACTATCATCATTTTGAACAGAGTACATGAGCCAAAGCTTGCTCTTTCCTTTCTGCAGAAGAAGTGCTATGTACATATATGGGATGCCAGAGTCTCCCAGCTCACAAATGTTAACAGGAAACCCGGGACTACTGTCACTTCCATGGATGCTCTGGAATTATGAATAATAGTTCAAGTATTCAAGGGCACAATCCTTGGCACAGTTATACATAAAAGTCCTATAACTCCCAGCATTCCTTAGCTATCATGGTTGGGATCTGTAGCACTTTTTCCATTTAAGTATACATAGGATTGAGCCCTAAGTTTAAATTTATCAGCTAAGTCCTCTCCAAAGTTCGGTTCAGGTTTTCAAGTATAAGTCTCAATATGTCCAGCCAGACTTAGAAAAAGTGATCCAATTACTGGTTGTTTTCTGACCCACTAGCCACATATATCCATAGTAACAGGACTTAAAATGCAAGGGTAGAAAAAGCATTTAACCAATGCCTGTCTTTTATGACTCAGAAAATTGTTCTGTCCCTATTAAGGAATTGAAACAAACCATGCTCTATCAAGTGTATAGCCAATGACAATTAGAAACATTTTTAAACTGAGTAAAGCGTACATAAATTGTATTAAAGTATTGACCTAAGATGCACAATTTCTGCTAGTATACACAATCCATAATTATAATCTCTGCAGTAACAACATTCTGCATTTTTAGAGATCAATCCTGCGGTCCCTAGACAGCATCCTGTGGGCCATAGGATTGTTCAGGAAAACCCTTCCAGATAGGGGAGCCCCCCAATGGCTCCTTCCAAGCCTTGCAGAAGTTTCCACATGGCTGTCTCTACTGGCTCAGAACTGCAGTTTCCGGGACTTGGGGGACTCTGGGGGTACTGTAGGGGGTGCCAGTGGTCAAGGAGGGAGGAGCCAAAGAGCCAAGCAATCCTAAGCTCTCCCAGGTGCCCACATAGCCACAGCACAGAGGGTGAGTTAGCTGAACTCTGAAGCTTGTCTACCCGATTTTCCCTTGTCTAAGGAGGGAAGGAAAAAATGATCCTTCCATTATTTCCATCCTGTTGGCAAGAACCTTTGGACAAGATGGAGCCTCAGAGACCGATACACCCTATCATTATGGTTCCTCCCCCTCTAGATTATGCTCCTAATAGCCAGACCAAGTCTTAGGCAATACTTTGCATGCTGAGCTACATTTAAAATAGATTGGTGAGAAATAATGAAATATACCACTGTAGAAATAGGCCAACTGACTGCGGAAGACCCACATTCTACAGACAATACTCAAGTTTTGTAAGTTGGCCTAATGAATAAAGGCCAAATTCTGGATACTGGATCAGCAGTCCCAAACAATACTGATATATCTGAAACAGTTTTAGCAGCTTGGTGCTTTTTATGTTCTCCCTGTTGATCGGGGACCAAGCTGATACTTTTAAACCGGGAAGGCAGGGATGGAATCAATACAGTGCATACTTAACCCAGACTTCCCCAACTTGGTGCCTCCTAGACATGCCACTTGCCACTCACCATTCCCAACCAATACAGGATTGGGATCAATTCATCTGGAGTCACCCAGCTGTGGAAACTTGAGTTAAATCCTTCGGTTGCTAAGTTACAACTGCAACCTTCATAAATAAATGCAAAGAGGAAGCTGCATAGTCTTTACTCTACATATGCGCAAAGCTATATATTTACATAGGCAAACCTGTATGTCCAGATTATCTCATGCTAGGGCAATAGGCATTTCAAAAGCTAGCACAACCGCCACATAATTGTACTATCATTAGTCAACAAGTAAAGACAGTACTGGCAGCACCTATTTTCACATTTAGCCAGTTTCTGGGACCACAAGATAAATGGTGAGCATTCATTTTTACTGATTAAACTCCTTATGCTGCCTTCTCAAGTACTTACTGAGAACCTCAATGTAATTCAATTGATTAAGCCAAAGGGATTCTAGGTGGAAACAGGGTGGAAATAGCATAAACACAAAACATCATCATAGTAATTGGAAACAGGACACTTAAAAGGTTAAATGGAAAAAAAATTAGGCGAACTAACACAGCAGAGCTGTAGTACGGTAAAATAGAAATTCCTAGCACTTTTTCCCCTTTCTCCACCTAAGCACATGTTGTGAAACATCCAATAATAGCTAAAGATTTCCATCTTTGTTACATATAATTCGCTTATCAGGCTAAATTATAGCAGACAAGCTAAAGGCTTTTCCAGATGTGTTGAATACATCTGACCAACCACAATTGCTGCTTTACAAATCAAGTAGCAAAACCTAATGAGAAAACCAGAGTGCTGGACTTGATACTACATGGCCAGTGTTCAAACTGCAAGAGTCTTGATAGTCAGCTTTTGATCAAGCCATTTAAGAGCCTCTTGCCACACCATAAATTGGGAGTACTCATTACTTCTATGGATGTTGTGAGACTGAGTGAGCCAGATAAAGACCCAATCATGCCTGATCCAGCAGGATTTGACGTCTGTACATTAAACATCATGGTGTAGCATGCAGATGATTATTGCTACATACCATGCCGCTGTACCTGGAGGTCCTGATGGCTACCTGTTCACTAGGGGTTTAGAAACATGCAATTTACACTTCGGGCATTTGCTAGAGCAAAAATGGATATAAACTGGAAGTGTTTGCCACACATAGAAGTATGAACTGACTCCAAATAACTAATAGCACAACCATAAAGCCATCAATTGCAACTTTCTCAAGTTTTCAATCTTTTTGTTTTCCCTTGAAGAAAACTATTCAATTGCCATATTTCTTTTTACTGGCCTCCAGTTTTGTCAACTGTAGGTTTTAAGGTGAAGGTAATACAATTCACATTAACCTGCTGTCAAATCACATCCACTACATGCTAGATTGCATCTTACCCAGTCACATAATATCATCAGTGAACATATACAAATCTTCCCTCAAATTGTTCCAATAAAATAACTTTTTATAAGT